TAGCCTTTGCACCCATTTAGGTCCTTGCATTGATAAGGAAACGTAGCAAAGGCTGCTTGAGTCTTTCAACATCTTCTGGAGGGATGCTGCTAAATGCCAAGGCCTACTGATACTGCAGCTCTAGGGTTAGAGTTAGGCTCTACGTTGAAGGCCTTACTACCGCCTAGAAGATCAACATCATTGATAAGATCCCCATCAAAAACAAGGTGACTATGGTTCTACTACAGGAGACCAACATGGAAAACAAGAACTTCCACCACATCCGGCCTCTCGTTTATGTGGTTTCTTTTCCCCTTAATTATTACTATATGTTAGTTGGAATAGGGGGTTTTGGAGAACGGAGTTTCATTATCTATCCATAAGTAGTAGACATGAATGCCTCTGAGAACAAATACAGCAGAATACAATGTGGTGTGTTTAAGAAGCAAACTTAAAGCCCCGTCAGAGATAATGTCTTTGATTACCCAGGTTTCTTTTTCCTCAGGCTCACTGCTTTTACCCATAAAAGAGTGAGTTTGGTGTTTCATTAGGTTGTACCCTTCAACTGCATGAAATGGACCAATCGCTTATTCCAGTCAAGAGGAAGAGCTATTATGTATCACTTATAAATGGAAAATATAAACTGTTAGATAAAATATAGCAAGAGAGGAATGCTGGCCGACAAATGACAATCCTGCTATTTGTGCAATAATATATATATTTGACCACATGTGCTCTCCAGACCTACTGTTTAATTCACTGCAGATTATATTTCTATAGGATACAGGAAGGCTACATACAAATCACCTTAGTTTTCAGCCATATCAAAGAAAATCAATTGTGTTGCTTGAGATAAATACCAAGGCTTGTTTTATTGCCAGCATGAGTAAATGGCCAGGTAATACTACAAACATATTCAGTAGTTGAGTGAGAGCAAGAAACACTTTGGGAATAGCGCGGAAATAAGTCATCAGATTTCTAACTAAGAGAGATTCCTGCCTCTCCAACAGAGAGTTCCTGTGGCAAATAAACGTTATGTAATTTATGTAGTTTGCGTTATATCACAACTTTGTTTGGGGGCATTATTATTGTAAAGCTTAACTCGTTAGCATATTCACTCATCTGAGAAAACCGGGTGAATATCCCTAGGAAATGCAATTGGATGTATTCGGTGAGTGTTTGGAGACAAACACACGTAAATAATTTCATGATAAGCATGATCTTCTGCCAGTTTCCATGTGGCTTTTTGCTTAAACTTTTTTTTTTAATATTCTTCCAAGCCAGTTATTATAACGAGCTTTTGTTGTTGACGGAAGAAAGCAGTGGATGATCGGTCCATTGGTGCGGTAAAGACTCAAATGCCCCATTTTTTTAAAGCAAAGAGCCTGATTAAGAAAACCTTGGTAAAAAGGAACATCGATCATAATCACCATCTATTATTTTGATTAGGGTTCAAAGTTCCTTGACAGATCCTTCCTTAGGAGCTATCCAGCTGTTGATGCTTTCAAGGACACTTTGTGAAGCACCACAAACAGAGCTTCCTGACATGGAGCCGTCTCAGGCTATCTGGCCGTGGAGAGTCTAGCAGTGCTGGATGAATGGAAAACAAGGAACTCTATTCTGCCCCCCCCCCCCCCCCCCTCCCCTCCCCTAAACATCCTGAACCTAAGCACACACATGGTTGGGTTGCTGAGTGAGCACTAAACATGGCAAACAACATCATGAATATACTATTCATTATTAAATTCTGCATATTTGTTTTTCTCTTTGTGTATATCCTACGGATAAATGTGCTAATGATGGATGCTTTTACTGGTATACAAGGAAGTATTATAAGAGATGATAGTGAGTGTGAAAATACCAGAGGTGGGACCAAGTCATTGTTTTGCAAGTCCGAGTCAAGTCTCAAGTCTTTGTGCTCAAGTCCGAGTCAAGTCTCAAGTCATTGTTTTGCAAGTCCGAGTCAAGTCTCAAGTCTTTGTGCTCAAGTCCGAGTCAAGTCTCAAGTCATTGTTTTGCAAGTCCGAGTCAAGTCTCAAGTCTGTGTGTGTGTGTGTGTGTGTGTGTGTGTGTGTGTGTGTGTGTGTGTGTGTGTGTTAGGGCTGTGCAATTAATCATATTTTAATCGCAATTACGATTTTGGCCTGCCACAATTACGAAAACAACATAATCGGAAAAAACGATTATTTTGCTTTGCTAGGTTGTGACAGTGCACTACAACATATTTGATCTAATGAATTTTTTAGTAATGTATCATTTATTTAATTAATTTTTGTATTAGTTTTTCAGTTGAATTATACGTTCAGGGTAATCAACAGTTAAAAAGATACTGTTCAAATTATTATTTGTTTTAAAGTTCAATAAATGGATGTTTTCAAAGTCAATGAATAATCATATTTAATAATCGTGATATCAATTATTGACCAACATAATCTTGATTATTGCCATAATCGAGCAGCCCTAGTGTGTGTGTGCGTGCGTGTGTGTGTGTGTGTGTGTGTGTGTGTGTGTGTGTGTGTGTGTGTGTGTGTGTCTCTGAGAGAGAGTGAGCTATATTCAGAGCTCTGCTGCCTTGGCTACACTATTTCATCGTTGCTGTTGTATGATTGGTGTTTAGCTACGGTATTTAGCGTCTACAGCACCTCCGCTTTTAGGGTTGACGTAGACCCAAACTTCGCCCGGAGGTCCCACGGTGTTGTTGCGGGAGCTGCTGCACTAGCTAACACTCCACTAGCTAACGCTACATTAGCAAAACAAACGCTAATTTATTTTGCAAAAGGTGCAGCGGGCTTCAAACACGTTCCCTCCACTGGTTTCAACCAAGCACTAAATTAGATGTTTCCAACCAAATACGGTTGAACTTACACTTCCCCATATTTATTTGTAAGTAGATTCGAAGATAGGCTACATGAGCTGAAGCTTGGTTGCTAGGTTACTAGCTGGGTGTTCTCCAATAAGGGGCCGGGGGAAACATAGTTAGTGATTACTGGTTCCATGTTGATTTAATTCAATACAAATTGTTGGGGGGAACTGAAAGGCTATTACCGTACTGGTTACTTTGCAGCCCGGACATTTCCCCCAAAACACATTTAGATGCTATCGCAACATAGAAGTATCTTTCAAATCCGATAATTTTTAAGACCATCTGAATCATATTTAAGACCTTTTTAAGGCCTTAAAAACCCTGCTCTGGAGGTTATTTTCATTTTACAAATCCTGCACTCAGCTTTGCTTTCTCCAATATCATTGAAAAGCAGCCAGATGCTGCTTCTTTTTTCGGTTTTCGCTCATTTCTTGACTTTTTCCGACGCGCTTGCATTTAAATCCGTCTCCCCGTCGCTCTGTACAGCTGGCCTGTACCACTACACATGCTGTGCCCCCCACCCTTCTTTCACATAATGGTATGATCCTAGTGTGTCCTCGCATATGATTGGCCGCATGGTGGCCCAGCTAAATAAAGACCCGCCCCTGCCTGCAAGGATTCTCAGCAAGAGTAGGAGCGGCTGAAGATTCTGCTCTCCCCGATGGGAGTCTGCTCTTCTAGCGGCAGCTCGCGATCGGCGTGTTGGAGACCTCTGAATTAAAGTAGCAAGTCACCTCAAGTCAGAAGGCTCAAGTCCAAGTCAAGTCCCGAGTCATTGGTGTTCAAGTCCAAGTCGAGTCGCAAGTCTTTTGTGATGTTGTCAAGTCGAGTCTCAAGTCATAAAATGTGTGACTCGAGTCTGACTCGAGTCCAAGTCATGTGACTCGAGTCCACACCTCTGGAAAATACCCATATGAATGAAAGCATTAACTGTCATAGCGAGAGGGAGTATGGATGAGGAGAAAGAGGGAAAGGGGAAAATAAACACAGAAAGAGTCCAAGAGGTCCTGCCTCAAATTCTATCACTTTAATTGGAGAGTACATTTAAAGGATGTTTAGTTGAGGTAAGACAGAGATTGTAAACATTTGCAGAACGTCACCCAAACACATCTGGATCGGCTAGTCTTTGAGTTCATCAGAAAACACTCCCTGAAGCTGCCACAACAAAATGTTGCGCAACTATTCCAAGAACTGAAACCGCAGCAGTTCTAATTGAGTCATTCCTGAGAGGCCATTTGGAAAACAGGCAACCCACGACACGCGACATACAAACATGAATATATTTCCCCTTTTCCTTTAGAACCTTTGCTATTAATATTGATAATTCAAAAATAAAAGTTGAAATCTCTCTTTATCATTTTCAACTTGTGTGTTATTATCTGTAAGTGTCAATCCAATTGAAGGCCACAATTCTCTAAATGTGACTGAAGTCTACAGTGTTAACATGAGCCAGAAATGGTGGTGCAGAATAAAGTATTTATAGACCGTAATAAGGCAATGTTCTTGCCTTGCAAAACAGGCATCCCTATACTGTTGCATACTACAGTATGCTGGTAATATGTTCATAGTTAGCTGCTTATAAATGCATTACAAATTACAGAATCATCTCCCAAAGCAACAAAAACGCCCAGTTAAGGTTTAACAATAACATAATTATAGCCTTGTGCTAAACTATGTGAGCAGGGCCAGTATAAACGGGTTGTTGAACACCCCCAGTGGTCCTGAGATAAAACCCTCTTTGTGCTCTCTGTTTACATGCTGCTCCGGCCAGCCTCTGAGTCTTGGCCTCAATGATTCAGACTGCTCTTCCGGCAGGTGTGTGTGCTGGTATGTTTCTATGCGGTTGTGTCTGGTCCCCCTTTCATGTTGTTGTCATGGTATTGTTAGATGCAATAAAGGATGGATATTTAAAAAGAAAAAGCTATTGCATGCATAAAAACACTGGAACACATCCAGGCGCAAACACACGAGGACAAGTTTTCCGATGAAGTCACTGCTAAAATAGTGAAGTGAAATTGCTATATCAGCAAGCTTTCTCTGACATTGTCATTGTGTTAATATTTTCCACAAGAACATCAATCATTCACACTTCCTATGAATATAAAACAGACCAAACAGCAAAAAAAGATCATGAAAAGGTGAATTATTCGGGACTCACCGATCTGGTCTTCGGGAATGAGGCTCTCGATTGGTGGCTCCAACTCGGAGCTCTGTCTCAGGTAGCTCTTCATCTGAGTGATGAACTGACGAAGAGTCTGCAGCAGCTCCAGTCCGGAGGCGTAGCCCTGCCAAGCCTGGGTGCCCGCACCCTCGCTCATGTAGCTCAGGTAGTCCTGCACCAGGCAGCCGAAGTACGAGCTCTTATCCCTTGATAGTTCCACCACCCTGCGGATGGCCCTCTTCTCGGGCGTCAGCAGAGAGTTGAACACTCCACTCATCTTGCGAAGATGCCCTCGCAGGGCCCTCTGCAGGACCAAAGCGCTGGCACTGGGGCGGCGCCTCGTGCGGTGGCCTGGTGGCACCATGGTCAAGTCCTGGTCTTGGTCCTGGTCGCTCTCAAGACTGACACCATAGTCATGCTCCTCTTCATCCTCGTCTTCGTCATCATCATCGTCATCCTCCTCCATGCTGGAGTAAGGCAGGTGGGATGGTGGGATGGAGAGGGGGAGGTGGGTGTCAAAGTCAGCCATGGTGGGGGGACTGGGATCATGCAGAGGAGGAAGGAAAAAGACTGAAGACTGAGAGAAGTCCAGAGAGTCTGAGGAATCGGTGGAAAGGCTCATGTCGCTCAGACGCTGGCCGCCCCCGCTGCATTCCTCACCTGCTTCTTCTTCTTCTTCTTCTGCTCCTGGCACATCTGCCTGCTTGCTTGTTGTTGAAGGGTCTGGAGGACTGCTGGAGTCCAGGGGGGGGTTTCTGTTAGCATTACGCTGAGAGAGTCTGGCCCTGATGACGGCCTTCTCAATGGTCTGGTCCTCCAGCGCCAAGTGGCATTGGGCCTCCTCATGGCTAGACGACGGTGAGGCCTTAGCCTGACGTGATGAGCAGGAAAGAGACTGCAGAGTCATGGGCAGGGAGGGCCGGGGGATGGAAATGGGGGAGCTGATGCTGAGTCTCTTGGGAGGGGAGGACGAGGGGCTGATGCTGAGGGAAGAGCTCAGACGGGAAAGGAGGCTGCTGCCCCTCTCTTCCCCCTTCCCCTTCGGGAAGTTGATCCAGGCGATCTTTTCTGGCATACTGCGTTGTCGGATTGGAGGGGCTGATATTTGCGGCACAATTTGAGGTGGGGGTGGACGTGGAGGTGGGGACCGTGGCTTACTTAGTTTCTGAATGCTGCTGCTGGTTGGGCTGTTATGGTCCTGTAGCTTTGGGTTCCTATCAAGACTCTGAGGGTTGCTTTGACCTGCCTGATCTGAGACCTGAGGATGATGTTGAGGGTCCTTGTTGTTGGTTTCTAGGCTGTCGCTAACGGGTTCCTCCCTCTGGTTTTCCTTTGCTGTACCAGAGGGACGTGAAGTGGTGCTGTCGTCACCATCTGGTTGGTGAACCTTGATGAAGAGGGGGTTGATAAAGCAAAGTGCTCCGTTGGACTGGCAACAATCAAGCTCTGAAGGGGTGCGAGTTCGAAGTCGAGGGCGCCCTGGGGTGGTTGCCAAGGATACCGGTGTCTGGGAAGAGGGAGCAGCTATTCCTGACAAAAAGACTGAGTCCTTACTCCTGTGGCACAACTGAGAATCCCAGAAGCCTATGTGAAAGAGTGAGAAAAACACGCTGTGTAAATAATTTGGACAGGGTAGGGTACAACTTGAAAAGATGCATTCACAAGAAGCACAATTTGCTCTTTGATCACCTCAAGATTGGGCCTCGACTTGAAAACAGCTAGTGAAGTTTTGCTTATATGGTTACCTCCCTTGCCAGCTTGTGGCGCTACATACAGCTGACATCTGAATGGTTGGGCTTTGATAGTCGGCGTTAAACGAGGTCGAAGATTAAGTAATTTGAACTTTGATTGTGGAGCTCGGCGACAATAAAATATCCTAGTGGGCCGGCACAGACCCCTCCATAGGAACACGAAGGCAACGTCAGCACAGACCTGTTACCATCTATCTTGTGAACGCAGCTTAAGTGCTACATTTACTGCAAAGTTTTGTTAACATCACTTTTTTTAACTGCATCTCCAGAATGTAAAAATGTTAAAACTCTTCAGACCCAACGATGCTGACTTACAACTGAAAACATTATCTGACCTCCTTTTCTGTTCACAGCTATTCCGGTTATTTTCAGTAGAACAAGGATCATTTTTAAAAGCATGAATTGCCCTCACTATTGAAGGCAAACAAATTGGAGATGTAAAAGCGCATTTATCGGTAACTAACCATTATCTGGACTGTATTGTACATTCAGCTGATTAGGCATCTTTTTTTGGTTTGCTTAGCCTTAAGAAAAAAAATGATTGTATTCTTTTTCTGTAGTCTAATACAGTCCAAGTAGAGTATTAGCCATAATACCCATATCAACAAGGAAACGGTCCCTTTTGTCCCCTGATTTTATGTGTAACCTGATAATCGCATAGACGCAAATCAAGTTTTACACATACATACTAAATGTATGTATTTGTTTGTCAGGAAGAGTGCATCAAACATTGGAATAGGTTACAAATCATGATACAAATGTGTAGAATAGTGTTTCTAGACAAGGCTAATTAAAAACATTTACAATTCCCAATCATACAATTGCAGATATAAATATTAACATTCTCATACATGTGATATTATACTACAGTGAGCGGCAGCAAAATAAACGTAACTTGCTAGCTATAATTTGCCCACTCATCCACTCCCAATGACTCAATAAAAGCCCTGCAATTTAAAACCACAAAAAACTAAATGCTGCTCTGTGCAAAATCACTGCTGTTTACTTTTGCAGAACGAGGCTCAGCCTGTCTGGGAGAAAGAGTCAAATAGCACTGAACTACTGTAACACAAGAATATTTGAAACCTTTAGAGTCCAAGCCGTACCAGACGGAGCAAAACAAGACAGACACAACCAGAGGGGAACAATACCGCTTGAGGAAAACTAGTACCAGACTCAGAGCAGCTCCTTCACACAGTGACAGCAGAGAGCAGAGCAACAATACTCACTGTGACCGCACACAGAGGAGCTGTTGATTTCACCTCAGGAAAACTTCTCTGTACAGTTCTGATCCTGTTGAAGTGAGAGTGTCTACACAAGCTGAAACTCGACTGGCTTCTCTGGCTCACCCACGTTCAATCTGTGTTATGACTCACTCCTGTTAATGTGTGTGTGGGCAGGCTGTTAGCTCAGTGATCCCGCCTCCCTCCCTCCCTCCCTCCCTTTCAGTTGGTGTCATGTTGATGTCTCTCGTTCTCTCACTTGCACTCTGTCTGACAAACCAAAACATGTTTACTGTCCTTATAAACTACTTTTGTTAACTCTAACTATCGTCTCCCTTTTACAGGATGACATGATCTGATTATGATACTGTTTTTTTAACATTATGTCGAAGGATTAAAAAAAAGGCCCTATAATGTTTTTTGGGGTTTTCCCTTTTCTGTAGTGTGTATTATATGTTTTGTGCATGTAGATCTGCAAAGGCTAAAATCCCTAAGTTTCTCCCCCACACACTCTGCCTGAAACCCCCTCCCTTGAACTCCTTTGTTTACTTCCATGACATAGTGACAACACTCGCATTTCTCCTATCCAACACATTGTGGTGATTTGTTAAGGGGCGGGACATCTCCAAGCAGTTGACCAATCACAACAGAGCCGGCCATGAGGTTGAGGGATGAGGTCACTGTGCGGAGGACCCGGGTTCGAATCCAGCTAGGGAGATTCTACTGCCTGTCATCCCCTCTGTCAGACACACAGAAAATGCATTTAGTCCATGCATGTATAATCTAATTGTCTGGACAATGAATACATCTGGATACTAGGTCATCTTTTTGAATACATATATTTCATAATGTTTTCTTTAGACACCTAGTTTTGTGTAATTACTTGGATTCATCTGTTTAGCATACACAAGTTATGTAATGAGCTGCTGTTCAAACACACACTCATACACTTGAATGAATGTGGTTTGGTTGGGTTGATCGAGATTTGGGAAAGTCAAGGTTAAGTTACGGGAAACTCAAACACATTATCATGACAGCTGAACTGCAGCCAATAATAGTCAGAGCTTATACAAGACAAGACATGAAGTCATTCACTTTGCATCATGCACAGTTGGCATTAATATTACTGACCAGGCTTATGGAAAAATTACAGTAAAAAAGGGAGATCATCAAACCAACATATACTTGCTGCATGCTAATGTTGAAAGTAGCTTTATCTTGATTACCACACTGCATGCCCTTTACCACGCCATTACATTTGATATGATAAAAGTCTCATCTCAAAGGTTGGAAACGATAGCTGAGAGGTAAATAATATTAACACAAATGTGGCTTGGCATGTCAGTTTAACGTTGCAGATTGTTCCCTATTGACAGCTGTCAAGTTTAATATCTTGTTATGTAAGGATATGTAAAGGTATAAAAATACTGGATACTAATGAAGCTTAGCGCAAGTTCAATGAGGAAGACCAATCCTCTGGTGTTACACGTCATTTCAATACTCTCTCCTCTCCCAATAAGTGATCGGGGGGACGGGGGCGTTACTCCCCAGCAAGCCAATCATCGCACCCGCTACTCCTTTCAAATCTGCTCTTCCCTCTCTGTCAGTCGTCATTTCAGGCGTCAACGCACAAGCAGCAGCAGGGCTTCGTCCCAGCTCCAGGCATATATTCATCAGCTCCGCAGTCTTGCGGATTAAGCTACAGGCGGCGTTCCCCAGTCGGCTAGGGGTTCCAGCCGGCCACCCCGCAAACCCGGACGCGGGAGGAAAGGACAAGGTAATCGGGCACCACGGAAGTTCCTCCGGCTTAATGGAATTGGCCTACTTCACGCAAACAATTGACGCACGCCTTCAGTCTCTCGAGAGGGCATCACTGGCATCAGGGCCGCTCAAATGCGGCGCTTCCGGCCTTCACACGGAACGGGCCCTCATCGCATGCGAAGCTTCACCATCTCTGGCTTCAACCACAACCCCTCTTACAGGCAGGCAGGGCTTAAGCAACATCCCATTGAAGCTACTTCTCCTCCAGGCTCAGTAGCCAGTACTGGACACTAAGTGCGTCATAGGCGGCTAGCAGGTTCATTGCACAGCCCAGGCTCTCGCCTCTTTCCCTGCGCCTCACCTCTAAAACAGGCGTCAGGGTAGCGCTGGCAAGAGGCAGTTGCAACAAATTCACGAGACGTTCGTTATATGCATTGCTACCTTTAGTTAAGGTGAGTTCCAGGCAGCGTTGGGTGTAACGTGTTACAGTATGGAGTTTCAGTACACGTATTACTTTGCCGTACGAAGTAACGTAACGCATTACTAATGCAGTTCGGGTAACTACTACCCGTTACAATGCTCAGTAAGTAACGCAGTTCCAAGCTTCAACACAGTCACGGATGCTGCCCCATCCGCTGGTTTCGGGGGGTTTCTTTCAGGGAAAAAGAGAAGTTCATGTACGATGATAGAAGACAGTCTTAATCACCCAATCAAGTATATCAGCATCTATGACTCAACCTGGCAAACTTAACTGCTAATTAAGCTAGACTATATCATGGGTCATGTCTCAGTATTTAAGTGTATGTTTTTTTCTGCATGCAACCTGCACTTCATTCATATTCTTGGGTTCATGCTCACCTGGCTCGTGTTAAGCCAGGTTATGATATTCATGCATCACTGTACTCAAGCTAACAGCTCTCGTACATTACATTGTCTACATCTCCTTCTTCGCCCGGACATCGGCTCGTGCTGCCAATCCAAGATCTCTTCAGTTTACCCATGGTAAATATGCATATAACTGGTGGTGGTGTCTTAAAGCATATCAGGGCTTTCGTTCAGATAGGTGCTGCCAATCAAGGCATTTCTCCCTCATCCCTGCAACTCGGACGGTGGTCCTCCTCCGCCTTCATATCCCGCATTCGCCCGGACATCAGTGCGTGCTGGCTATCCAAGGTCTCAAACACTAAACTCGGTAATTATGCATATAACTGGTGGTGGTTTCATAGCAAGTCAGCATGTATACGTGTCAATGTGTCATGTTTAACTTCGCACGTCAGGTCGTGACCTCCGGGTCAGCGTCATGTTTAACCCTGCGTGTGCAGGTTGCGGCCAGTGGGTCAGCGTCATGTTTAACCCTGCGTGTGCAGGTTGCGGCCAGTGGGTCAGCGTCATGTTTAACCCTGCATGTGCAGGTTGCGGCCAGCGGGTCTGCGTCATGTTTAACTCGCAAGTACAGGTTGCGGCCAGTGGGTCAGCGTCATGTTTAACCCTGCGTGTGCAGGTTGCGGCCAGTGGGTCAGCGTCATGTTTAACCCTGCATGTGCAGGTTGCGGCCAGCGGGTCTGCGTCATGTTTAACTCGCAAGTACAGGTTGCGGCCAGTGGGCCTGCGTCACGTTTAACCCTGCGAGTGCAGGTTGCGGCCAGTGGGCCCTGCACCATGTTTAACCCTGCTACGCCAGGCATTAACCCATGGCTGGCGTTCACGTAAGCCCGGCAGCGATTCCGGCATTCTCATCATGTTCCCGCGTTAATCTCTCATTCATCCACAGATCTCCACAGTCAGCCCGTAAGGGAGGAAATGCTTCACATCTCAGTACTTCATACTTCACTTCTTTGGGGGTTCATCGGA